ATAATATTTTGTGCAGTAAAAGAAGATCGTTAACAATATTTTAGTGAAAATAAATGTCTTTATCAGGACGTGGAGAAAGAATTGTATTTTTTTTTTTTTCAGAGGATCATACATTTTGAGGAATGAGTTTAAAAACCGTTAACATGCTATTGTTTGTATACAGTTAAACTTAACAAAATTACTGTTGACCTTCGGTATCTCGAATACTGATATCTCGAATTTGATGTTAACCACTTTTTCCTTATTTCTCTCAAATTTTGCTTACTAGAATCTTCGGATGCTTGTTTGTTTGTTTGTTTTTTTTTTTCGTTTTCTGAGGTTTGATCGATATTAAAATCAAAGACAAAGAAAAATTGATTTATATATTTTTTTCGTATAAATATTTCGATAAATCTATTTATTATTTATCAGTCATTGGTGCTAAGAATTTTTATAATTCTTATTTTTTTCACCGTGCTTCCAGCCTCAAAATCTCTGTTCTTATAAGAGAACAGGCCTCTGTATGATCGTTTAGACATATGTAGTACATCTACTAATTATTTCTAAAAATAGATGAATATATAACCACCGTATTGCTACAATCATTTTTTGGTGGCCGACCATACATGGAGTCAAATGTCAACATGATATACACTCAACAAAACTTCTAAGTGTTCACTTATTTTAAAACTATTGTATAGAATGATGTGATATTTTCAAATTATTACAACAAATGGGTCTTCTCAACAATTATTGAAAGAAAATCAAATATCACCGATGAAAACCAATGTTCCTTGACGAAGCTTAAAAATAATAAAACTGCACTTTGCGGCACGTGTTTTGTGTAATTAGTATCTTTTTGTGATCATTATCAAATTTTAAAAAATGGTTTTACTAAAAAAACATAAAACATTGGCAAAATGACCATTGAGATGAAAGAGAGAGCCGTTGGAATGTTGATATCTGGACAATCTTTGCACCACGTTTTACTCACTTTTATTTTAGTGCTTAATTGTACTTGTTATTACTTTTAAAACTTATGAAACACTATCAAAACCCATTTAAACACATTTTTCTATAGGCTGTGCTCATTTTTCATCACCAATTTATCACAATTTGAAAGTTTTTGACAAAATTTAGCCACACCGGAAGAGACCTTGAACTTCGTCAGAGACCAAAATTTCGCGTCACACCATGTTATCCTTAAAGAGGCCACTTACGTGCTAAACACCCTAGGATATTGACCACAAGACATGTGTGATGCTACCCTCTCAAATTCCGGATCTGAATCCCATTTAACACATTTGGGATTTTATAAGAAATGTCAACCCCCCCCCCCTTTTTTTCCACGCAATTTCAATGGTTTGAAAAGATCTAGACAGAAGGTATGGCAGCAGATGCGTCAATCTCCTATTCAGGGGTACAAGGTATTCAACTGTAATTACAGTCTTGTAGTAATTAGAGTGAGTGGTGGTCTTACTCCATAGAGCTTTTTGTGTGAATTTTTATTTTGAGGTTACTTCGTTTCCTTGACACTTTGTGAAAAATTTTGTAGAGATACTTACATGAAATTTATGCAACATCCAACTTAAATATGCATCATTAATCAGGAAAAAAAAGAAATTATTTTCTGTTTGCATTTGTTCTCTAAAACTTCAGAAATGTCAGGTGAACACTTAGAAGTTTGGTTCAGTGTAGAGAGAAAATAAAGATGAGGCGAAGAAAATTGCAAAAAGTAAAAAAAGGGGGTGATTGGTGATTTTGTTCAATAATTGCCGACCATAAATTATACATTAAATTAAAATGAGAAGGGGGTTTAAACACATATTAGGAAGGTGTGAATGTGTATTAAAATTTAGTTTTAAATTGAACACATATGATGAAATAATTTTGTTTTGCTAAATTGTTTTTATTTAGCTTACAAAATCGTAAAAGGTCAAAAAGATGTCGGCTAAAATGCCAGTAATTTTGAGAGGGAACTTTCATCAGGCGCTAGTCCCAAACTCCAAGCAGGTTTGTTCCGCTAAGGAATTGGCCATTCATTCTAGCACGACAAACCTGTCCTCGCCATTTCCAGTAGATATGAACATGTATGTTTCCTAGTGTTTAAACCAAAAAATATATGTGTATAATATAAGTAAACTATCGTATCTAACATTAAATTAATTACGCTTGGCTAGGTTACTTACCTTTGACTTGTATCTTCTTCAATGGTTAAATACATCATGGCGACTTGACAGGGCTCCCTGTAAACATGACGTCTTTTCTCTATTGCATCAGTGAAGACTTAAAAAATGCATTTTATATATATACTTGCAAGGAAATTGGGGGGGGGGTATACAGTCATATAGTAACACAATCGTAAGTGAGTGTTTTTATTTGAACACCGTCCTTTGCAAAATGAAAGTGACGCAATTTTCATCGGGATTGACATTGAATGCTACCTTGATTTATAGCTATGTACTTTGCAAAAGGATGTCCTTTGTTCTGTAATTATTTAAGCTATTTGGAAAAAAAAACAATTTACAAGATTCCATCAAGATCGCACCATTTTCAAAAAGCTTAACACTTGTTTTGAACCTATTTTTTATTGATAAAATCAAAAGGATTGGAAACAAGTTCTGCACAACTTACTAAGTTCCTAACTCATTTATTAAAATATTTCATGCAAATTAAATAAAAATAATAAATTGATAGAAGAAAAAAACAATTAAATACAATATAATGTAACTAGAGAATCTACGTGTTTCGTCAATAAATTTATGAACAGCAGCAAAACTGCTATTTTTATTTGTAAAGGCAAATAAATATCATCACATGATAACCAAATCAAGCATTAACAAAGGATCGAAACAGTTCTAACATTAGAAAATTTAGACATGCAAAAAAGAAATGGCACACATCTTCATTTTTTCCACATAAAGATAATCATGATAATGGACTATTTACAATGTTTCCTTTATATAGATCATGGTTAAGTATACAGTAATGTCTAAACTTTGTATAAATGATATTTGTGTATCGTTTACCAAAAGAAAAGTATGATGGCGGATTATCAATTTTTGTTATCAAGTTTTTTCGGAATGTTGTGATTGAGATGGCTTCTCTGATCTATGATTTTAATAAGTGCCATTGTTTTGTAGGTAAACGTACGAATGAGTTTCTAAATAGTTCTACTCTACACCTTGGAACAGTATTAGCTTGTTTGTTACGGTTATTATATACTGAAAGGAAAAAGAAACGCAGGGTAAACTTTTGAGGTGAATTAAATTTGTTTTTCTTAAAATACTTTTTAGTTTTCCTATCTACCTTTTAAAATCATCTTTCAAAAAGATATAACCAAGTTCTCATATGATTTTGTCTAATTATTCATGAGTTATTGAAGCTCAAATGACGATACCCCCCAAAAGTGAAAATCGAAAACTCTCATTATCTTCAATGTCTATCTCGTGCATTTGTCAGAGTCTTGTTTCTCCTTTGCATGGAATTTCATCAGAGTGTTTATCTTTCAAACCCTGGCTATATTTAGCATGGGTAACCACGCAAAAAATAAGTCAAACGGCGCGCGCATGCGCCAGTGAGAGGAATACAACCGTAAGTTGACTGGCTCAAAAAACCAAATTGCGGAATTGTTTTCTTTCAAATTTCGTATGAATGTAATGATTATAATCGTCTACTCTATAAATGGCTGTTTTTGTGGTAGTAAGGTGGCGATTTAAGAGATGGCAGGACGAATAACCCGCTCGTAACATGGCTCTGTTTAGCGTTATCGACATCGTCACGGTTGATTGAAAACCATTTCAGACCCTCTCTGACAACGGGTAAAAAGTTTTATGGGGGAAAATTTACAAGAGACTGCTTAGTAAACCGTTGTTGCCTTTTTCCTTAATTAGGAAATTTGAAATGAAGACCCCACTGAACTTCCGTAAACTGTGCCAAGATTGCAATAAATTCATAATGTGTCTTATTATTGAAAAACGATGTGCATACCTCATATGCATCAAATAATGCAACAAGATTTGTTGACAAACTCGTCGTTATCAAATTACACGTGTTTTGGGCTTTTTAGCGTTTTCCCTACGTGACGTCATAAATTTTATGGTTGAGTAATTCTGAATACTGATTTTGATGCACAGTAACTAAATTTCCCTTCTGACCAATTTTCGTAATTTTCGGTCATGTGGTCAAATTTTTATCGAAAATTATGCTACCCTGCGTTTCTTTTTCCTTTCAGTATATATTGATACATGTTCACGCTTATTTGAGACAATGGTAATTAATTCTAATAATTAATGCATATGTAAAAACATACCCAGATTCATGGTTTTTTCAAAGACAAGACTACACTTGTAGTTTTTTATTTATTCTTTTTTTTTGTGAAAATATAGAGTCACTGTGATTAAAAAAGAATTATGCATCATTCTATATATATCAAATGAGTTTCACATTATTACGAATTATAACAAAAGTTATAAATAAAACTACTAAATCGTCAATTCGTCATCGTATCAAATAAAAATGGTCTTTTTTTAAAACAATCAACACTTCATTTTCTTGTTCCTTCTGTAAAATTAAATTTCCAAATTGTTCATTTTTCGCAGATAAATTCAAACTGATACGAACAAGGATAATCAGACCATTTGAATTTGAATCCCAGCAATAAACAGTTTTCCTCCTGCTCTCCGTTTGGTTCACCTCGATTCCAATTCCTATAAATCATTCTACTGTTAGAATGGTGCCAATACCACGTGCCCTCTGACCCCTCATCTGACCCTTCAGTCCACCAATAGTAACCTACGGAGTTCAACAGTTATGTATTTCAATGTTTTCAAAGATAAATGCATGTACGTATATATCTTAACTAGATTAAATATTAATTAATTGTAATTCCATTAATATAAATTGACAACGAATTTAATCATTTTCCGTTATCTTCCGATCAAGGAGCAAACTTTAATGGGAGCTTATAATTCGTGTTTCGGCAAATAATAACAAATTACAAAATAATTACCTTTATCCTCGTAATATTTTATTTGATCAAAAATCCAATTGTGTTCTTCTTCGTTTTCTATTGCCACGAGATGAGCATCAAAGGAATCACAATAGCTCTTAATTAAAAGTAATTAAAAAAGTTTCTTTTACATTTTTATGGATAATATTTTAAATGGATACATACAAAATTTACCCAGAAATCAAAATTTGTCAAAAGTAACTTTTCATTTTTTTTTCCCTTTTATTTCGAAGTGATTTTTGTTTTAAATCGTAATTAATTTTTTAACCGATAATCAGAATCCTCTATCAATTCAAAATATTTGAGGAATCTGTAAATGTACAAATATTAGAGCAATTTTATATATTAGTAGAAATATTAGAGCAATTTTATATATTAGTAGAAATAAAGCAGGGTTTCTAGAGTATTTTTAATATCAGTGAGCCCTGACATAAATAATATCCGGATATTTTTATTAAGAATATTTACCACCAACATACATGTAAATATCCTGATTGGGTGCAAAATGAATTTTTAAAAGTCCGAGGGAAATGTAGAAATTGATCGCTTCTTAAATATTTATTTTTTTTATTTATTTCACTCTTTAAAAACTATATTACTGCACTTTCAGTTTCATGCAGCTTGTTAATAATAATTGTATATACATTTGCCGCGTTCCAGTCTTTTTTATCTGTAAAGAATCCGTAGCAATTCATTGCATATTCTTTCCATCCTTCGGGGCAATCTGTGAAATCATCAGAAAAAAAGATTTACAAAATCTCTATACATTTTATTGTATTTCAGGATTCAAATCCATAAGACAGTAAAATGACATTGTTAATGAAATACAATTTTCATGGAATAATTATTAAATTTGAATTTCATTTTTTAAAAATGTATAATTTCCTTTTTTCAGTCTCAAGATTTTTTAAACTTAAATTTGTCTCCAGTTTATGTTTGAAACGCTTGTAATCTTTACAAATTATATCATTTATATTGCAGAGTAAAGAAAAATTATATAATGAAACATACACGTGATATTTGCAAGGAATCGTCAATATTTCTGTAGACTCATGAGATAGTTAATAGACTAATTGAGCTTGAATACTGTTTGTTTTCTCCATATATTTAATTATAATCAACTTAATCTGTGTAAAGGTGGAAAGAGATTACATTCTCCAGGTAACCTCAAATCATACTCCTTGTATGTTTTGTTTGTTTTTAAAACAATTAAGCATTACATAACTTCTCTTGAAGTTTATCATGCTAATACATGTATAAGATATTCAGTTTATGATAAGACCCAGGAAATACCTTTCTTTGAAATATTAACCTAAAAATATAGTGTTATATAATGACTACTTACCAACAAACATTTCGAAGTAAGACCAACATCTCTCCTCTGAGATTTCGGATGATCCGACCGTTTGCAAAGCATTCAACAAGAGACATTGTTTTGATTTAATGTTGAACAGAAACGCAATGCAGTTTACAGTTTGACTGCATACAGCTGCACACATTATTTCATTTACTACTAAAGTAGAAAATAAAGTCTCTTTTATGGTTTGAGCCTCGTCTATGGTATAATCAAATCGCTTTCTGTATGTAAGTTCTGATTTCAAGGATAAACCACATATTATATATGTATTGAAAATTCCAACAATAGTTAACAAAGAAATAAGAGGTAAGTTACTGTAGTTTGTCATTCCGGGCTTGCAATGCTACACTGTGTTGAAGTCCTTTACTAGCGCAAGTATATTCCCAATTTCTAACAATGATTTCTTTCTTAGATT